TATAACCTTAATAAATATTTATATGACCATAACTCTATCTCAAACTGTGATTATCAGAGTTCATCAACGAGCCTAATCACAGTGCCAATTCATAGCTTTTCTGAATGCCCCTCAAACCAAATATAATCTCTTCTTTTAATTTAATTTAACCTAGCCGCCTCCCATCCCTTCATTTCCATCAAATAAATTGTATCCAAATATTCCTTCTGTAAACAGCACAGTACAACAACGAGACAACCACAAAACTTCTAAAAATTATATATATTTATAAATAAATATTCATATTATAAGTTAAATTTAACATTTAAATTTTAAAATCAGTATTTAAATATAAATTAATTTTTTAAATAATAAATATAAATTATTTTATTATTTATCACCTAACAAATTATTTCTAATAATCAAATAACAATTGAATTGAACCGTGTGTTGAAATTAGTACAAATTAGATATTTTGTATGGCTAAGTGAAAGGGCAGAAACATGATCATCTTCTCTTGGATAATCGGTGTCTAAATACAAGCCAGTACGTGCACTTCCAATTTTGATTACTTCGATTGAGGTGAATTGAAATCATAACATTTATTAGGTTTTATTTATTATAATAACAATCAAATTATTTTCATTTTTACATGTTAGGAAAAAATTAATTCAAGGCAATACGTGGTACCTTGGAGAGAGGTTACTGGGAACAGTCAATTATAATTTTTCACTGTTTTGTTTTTTTGTTTTTTTGGGTAACACTGTTTTGTATGTTTGTATACGGTTTGAGAATCATTGTACTCCCTTTTAACGTATTAATATTTTATCGTTTAAGAAAAAGAAAAAATTAAAGCAATAACTTTCATTATTAATTGTATGACATACGCCCATGTATACATGTTTTGAAGTTTTGAACAACCATTAAATCATTATATAGTGAAATGATAGGGGTTGTAGTCGTGGGGTACAATAATGCCGTCCTATAGCATAGGCCCTAGTACAGTTATTGTCGGCTCTAAATGATTTTTTTTATTATTTAATAAGGAAAATTTTATTATTAAAATAAAATATAAAATTATTTAATACATATATATAAATTATTATTATTTATTAATTTTTTAATATTTAAAAATAATATTATAATTTAATTAATTTAAAATTAAAAAATTTAAATTTTTTATTTAAATTAATAAATTATTATTATTGTTGTTATTATTTATCTATATACCTAATTAGACATGAGAATGATTCATTCACAACAAAACAGAGATGGAGATGATAGTAGATCCCCTGCCTCAATTTTTTGCTTTCTCAAAGTGACCCCAAATTCTTTTACTTATAGAAGTAAAAAACCACATTGAGTTTTAACCAAAATATAAAATATCATTATTTTTTTTTATCAATCTAATTATATATTATATAAGAAAAGATAATATTTTTTTTATTTTTAAATACTTTTTTTTATCAAATTAAGAGTCAAATTTAAAAATTTTAACTTATAATCTTAAGTTTTTATTTATTGAATCATCCATTAAAATTTGCTTTTTATCTTTTCTTTTAATGGTATGTCATTATTTTGCTTGACGTTACAAAACAGAGTTAATTAATGCGAAAACAAATTGTGAATTATCTACCTACTACACTCCCAACTCATCCGATAAGAAAACCCCTTCTTTAACTGGAAAAATGACCCATAACCTCTCATTTGTTTCGCCATGGTGATGCTGATTAAAGGGGTTGAAACTAACTGATTGGGACAACTCATGAAGGAGCGAAAAGACGGGTGTGGGTATAGTTACGCGTCCTAATGTTTAGATCATGTGATATTAATTTTAAAATATTATTTTTATTTAATTTAATTATAAAAAATAATTATTAAT